ATAAATAAATAAATAAATCCATCCTGTTATGGGGCAAGAAAATCCAAAAAGAGCTCCAAGCCTAATGGCTTGGGGAGCCAGTGTAGTGCGGTGAGTAGAGTGATGGACTAGGACTCCCAATACCTGAGCTGAAATCTCCACTCAGCCATGGAAATGTTGAGCCTGTTCAGATGGATATATAGATTTCTTTTGAATTGCTGTTGGTATGGGTTAGTGCAAAACAAATTACAGCATACACACATTTCTACTTAGATCGATCCATCTTGCCTATTTAAATGCTGTCTCGCTCCTTTCTGTCAAAGCACTATGGCCTTCTGGTGGGTTTTTGGTGGGGGAGGGGGGATATGGTTCTGCGCACTCCTAATTATCTCGTTGTGTAGCCAACAGGGCAGTAAGCCTGTTCCCAAATAGAGCCGTGGGCGGCATTAACACAGAGACAACCCTGTGATGTAATAGGTAGAATTAAAAGGAAGGATGGAGAAGCCCCCTCCTCTATTTTCACCTTCTTTCTTTTAATATTTGCCTGACTGATGTCACAGAATTCTAATACCACATTAGGTTGATGTATTGCTGTTTTGATATGTCACTTACTTTATTTAACAAACAGACAAAAAGGGGGGGGGGAGTCACCACAACTTGCTGAACAACAGCCATAGGAAAAGCTGGGAAATGGGGCTAACTGACTTTATGGGTTATGCTCCCACTAGGCAGTGCAATCCCAACAGAGACCCAGCGGAGGATAAAGGTGTGAAAAGGGAGTTAACTTTCTTCCATCTCCTCAACATTCATCCCAATGTTTTCCCCTTGTACCACTACTGTCCTTCTTACTTGTGACCAAACCAGGTAAACTTACTTACAAGTAAACTGGGTAAACTTTGCTCATAAGCAAACTGAGTAAACTGGCAATCCAAGGATCTGTGTGGATCTTTCTTGAGGGAGAATAAATACCTCCAGTGTGAATGGAAGGATCTCTCAAGTGAGAAATAAAATACATTGCACTGAGAATAAGAATCTTTCAAGCAGAAACCAGATCCCTCCAAATTCGTCTGTCTGGACAGGTCCTTACTGGGAGATGGGACTAGTAAAACTCCACCCTATATATCTCACATACCTTGAGACCTTTATCACAGTCACTTAAAAGTCAGATGTGTGTCTTGGTGGTACATAAGAACAACAAAATTCTTGGCAAGCATTATTTAATTCATTATCAGACCTAACTCTACCACTAAACTCAGGCGACAGATGCTGAGGACTATTAGCTGGTGATAAAATGTTGCAGAACATAACTATGAAGATTGTCACTATCCTGTCAGTGGATATGAACTTTATTTCTCTGCATGGATTTGGAAGATGAGAGTTACAAAGCCTGATCTTAGATGACAATATGGAATTGTCTATCACTGCTATGATTTACTGCCAAACAAAGAGAGGGGATTGTGTGAGATCTTCTGCCTCAAAGTCAGTTATGCACCTCAACCAGGGATTTGCATTTCTAGCCCATTCAGCAGAATGTCTTGGGATGTCCCTGTGCATAGGATTATACATACAGTGCTATGAGCTTCCTTGTTACAGTGGGGTCTCTACTTAAGAACGTCCCTACTTAAGAACAATCCAACTTAAGAACAGCTCCATTTGCTAAATTTTGCTTCTACTTGAGAACAGAAATCCAAGATAAGAACAGGAAAAAAAACCTTTCCTGCTCTTTTTTTAACCTTAGGTCATCTTAGGTTAAAAAAAAAATTCTCCCCATAGTGGTAGAGTACGTATTAACCAGCTTTGGTTAATGTACGAACGCACCTCTACATAACAAAAAAAACAGCCAGAACAGATTAATTGGTTTTCAGTCCATTCCTATGGGAAATTTTGCTTCAACTTAAGAATGTTTTAACTTAAGAACACCATTCCAAAACGGATTAAGTTCTTAAGTAGATGTTCCACTGTAGTTTCTATGGACGGAAAAGAGCAGATACGGATTAAATGGTTTTCAATGCATTCCTATGGGAAATGCAGATTCAACATAAGAACTTTTCAACTTGAGAACCACCTTCCAATACGGATTAAGTTCTTAAGTAGAGACCCCACTGTATTTGGTAGTCCAAGGTTGGTTGTTAGGGCATATACAGCTAGCTGATTAAGTGATTTGTGGGTACTGAAGCTGTCAGATAGTATAGATATGGATTCATTTCCAAAATAAGCAAGATTTGGCAACAAATCTTTTACTATATATGGAGAAAGAAGAATTGGCAGATGTTCAAGCTGGATTCAGAAAAAAGACACTAGAGATCATA